CTGGGGACGACCACACAAAATACTCTCAGTCGTTTCTTCTCACAAGTGTTCATAGTTATAACAGCAGTTGTAAAGGTGACTGACTAGTGATTACTAGCAGTACACCTGCCTTCTTTCTTACTTCCAGACCAGGAAGGCAGTACACCTGCCTTCTTTCTTACTTCCAGACCAGGAAGAAAGGCAGTACACCTGCCTTCTTTCTTACTTCCAGACCAGGAAGAAAGGCAGTACACCTGCCTTCTTTCTTACTTCCAGACCAGGAAGAAAGGCAGTACACCTGCCTTCCTTCTTACTTCCAGACCAAGAAGAAAGGCAGTGCACCTGCCTTCCTTCTTACTTCCAGACCAAGAAGAAAGGCAGTACACCTGCCTTCCTTCTTACTTCCAGACCAGGAAGAAAGGCAGTACACCTGCCTTCCTTCTCACTTCCAGACCAAGAAGAAAGGCAGTACACCTGCCTCTCAACACTGGCGCAAGATCTTTGTCTTGTGGACACTATAGTGCCAACAAGGTGTACTGCTGCTGCTCCTATCATTATTTTAACACATCGGCCGTTGTCCACCAAGGCAGGGCGGCCCACCAAGGCAGGGCGGCCCACCAAGGCAGGGCGGCCCACTAAGGCAGGGCGGCCCACTAAGGCAGGGTGGCCCACCAAGGCAGGGTGGCCCACCAAGGCAGGGTGGCCCACCAAGGCAGGGTGGTCCACCAAGGCAGGGCGGCCCAGCAAGGCAGGGTGGCCCACCAAGGCAGGGTGGCCCACCAAGGCAGGGTGGCCCGAAAAAACAAAAACTTTCATTTACCTCATCACTGTCTTGCCAGAGGTCCACTTACACTACAGTTATAAAACTGCAACATTAAGACACCTCCTACAGAGTGCCGGCACTGTACTTCCCTTCTTTAGGATTCAAGTCTGGTCTGCCGGTTTCCCTGAATCCCTTCATAAATATTACCCTGCTCACACTCCAACAGCACATCAAGTCCTAAAAACCATCTGTCTCCATTCGCTCCTATCTAACACGCTCACACATGCTTGCTGGAAGTCCAAGCCCCTCGCACACGAAACCTCCTCTACCCCCTCCCCCCAACCTTTCCTAGGCTGACCACTACCCCGCCTGCCCTCCACTATAGATTTATACATTCTCGAAGTTATTATTTTGTTCCATCTTCTCTACATGTCCGAACCACCTCAACACACTCTCCTCAGCCCTTTGGATAATAGTTTTGGTAATCCCGCACCTCCTAATTTCCAAACTACGAATTCTCTGCACTGTATTCACACCACACATTGCCCTCAGACACGACATCTCCACTGCCTCCAGCCTTCTCCTTGTTGCAACATTCATCACCCATGCTTCACACCCATAAAAGAGTATTGGTTGTTAGGTAAGACACATATGCAACAGTTAGGTATCTTTATTTCGAAACGTTTCGCCTACAAAGTAGGCTTCTTCAGTCGAGTACAGAAAAGTTGATAGAAGCAGAAGATACTTGAAGACGATATAATCAGTCCATCACCCTTGAAGTTTTGAGGTGGTCAGTCCCTCAGTCTGGAGAAAAGTATTGTTGGTATAACTATACTCTCACACATTCCCCTCTGCTTGCATGGAGAAAGTTCTTTGTCTCCACAGACTTCTCAGTGCACCACTCACCTTTTTCCCCTTGTCAGTTCTATGATTCACCTCATTATTATTATTATTATTATTATTATTATTATTATTATTTTTATTATTTTAGACATGGAAAGTTCGATATATGTCTTTTTCATTCTCTCTCCCACCCCCCTGGTTCTTGATAGTTCTTTCCCTTCCTTCTTTCACTCCCTTTCTTCCTTCCGTCCTGTCTTATTTCATTTCCTAGCTTCTCTTCTATCCAAATTCATCTCCTACCCTCTTCTCATCTGTCTTCCCCTCTCCTCCTTCCTCATCTCTTCCCCTCCTCCCCACACTAGTTAACACTCAAGTCACAAACACAAAATAGAGAATATAGATAGGAACCTTCATACACCCCAACGCACCCTCGACACCTACCTCCTCCTCGACACCTACCTCCTCCTCCTCCACCCCTACACTGGCCCTCTACAGGAAGCTACAACGGTCAAATACTCAGTTTTCGTGGGAAGGTTCAATACATCAATATTTACCGGTGGTCCTGGTGGATTCTGATATCCGCAGTGCTATCTTGAGGCAGGAAATATCCCGTACCTTACCTGAGAGGGGTCTCCAGGTTCCCTCTGTCCTTCAAGCTCTCTATGGCGCCCCGTAGCTCGGTTTGTAGCGCGCTCATATCACACAATGACGTCCGTAGTTCGATCCCCGGTAAGGGTGGAAACATTAGGACGTGTTTCCTTAAGATACCTGCTGTCCATGTTTACCAAACAGTAAGTAGGTACCTGGGTGTTAGTGGACTGGTGTGGGTCGCATCCTGGGGACAAAACTGGCCTAATTTGCGGGAAATGGTCAACATAACAAGCGGCTTTCTATATAGTAGTATGTTATTGATGTCAGGTATGGTGTGTATACCTTGTACATGTACTGGTAGTAAATAAAGCTATTACTATTATTATTATTTCTCTTAGGCTTCCTTGCTGTGTGCTCACTCATTTCTACTCAACTGTGGGAGCAGTGGTTGAAACTCAGCTCCTGGTCCCGATTTTCCGCTGGCCACTATTGGGTTCACTCTGTGTGTGTGTGTGTGTGTGTGTGTGTGTGTGTGTGTGTGTGTGTGTGTGTGTGTGTGTGTGTGTGTGTGTGTGTGTGTTGTGTGTGTAGCCACATGTCCTCTAAGGGGTGTTCTATTTACCCATGTCCTAATGACTTCCTATACCCAAGCGTGTCCCCCATAACTGTGTGTATCATGTCCACAACCCCCCTCACCTCCCCCTCACATCCCCCTCACCTTTCCTCACCATTCCTTCCTGAAATCTTTTACACCCCTCCATATCTCCCCTCCTTCCTTCCCTTTATCTTGCCACCCACACCAACACCCGCCCACCCCACCAACCTGCCCACACCAACACCCGCCCACCCCACCAACCCGCCCACATCAACACTTTCGCCCAGGAAATGGTTTTCACCGGCCATCTGACTTAAAGAGCATCTCAGATTTCTCAAAAATATATATATTAAACGCACGAGAGTGAGAGCGAGAGATAGATAAATAGATAGAGGGAGGGAGAGGGGGAGAAAGAGAGAGTACCTTTGATAAGCTTTGAGAGTTTTGCTACTGCCGCAACCTGGCCCTGGGCCAGGCTCGTCTAGTTCTTGTCTGGTCCACCAGGTTGTTGTTGCTGGTGGCCCACTGGTCCACATATCCATCACAGCCTGGTTGATCTGGCACCTGATGGAGGTTCTTGTCCAGTTTCTTCTTGAAGACTTCTACAATTGTTCCAGCAGTGTTCGTGATATCTTCTGGTACGATGTTGAGTAGCCTTGGACCACGGATGTTGATACAATGTTCTCTTATTGTGCCCAAGGCGCCCCTATCGTCTAGGAACCTTCATTATTTATATTGTGAAATAGGAGGCAATAATTTTGATACAAAAAAAGGGAAAAAGACTAGCTGAAAGTCCTCTCGTCAAGACCCCCTTTTGAAGGGTCTTTACAATAAGAGCCTCTAAGAGCCCCTTCCTCCAGCTGCCTTGTCAAGACGCACGATCAGAGACTGATGAAGAGTTGGTAGTAAAAAAAGAAACTGGTTGCTCGCTGGGTAACTTCAAGACAGAAATCTGGATGGTATGTGTTGACGGAGGCGTCTCCCTGCTTGACACTGCTTGGCACTGCTTTCCTGCTTGACACTGCTTGACACCGCTTCCCTGCTTGACACTGCGTGACACTGCTTCCCTGCTTGACACTGCTTCCCTGCTTGACACTGCTTTCCTGCTTGACACTGCTTGACAATGCTTTCAATCAGCAGACATCTGCTGGTGTTGCTGCTACTGGTACTGCTGCTGCTGCTGCTGCTGCTGCACATGGAGGCTAACAGCAACACCTGCTAGATCACTTGCTGCTGCAGCACATGGAGGCTAACAGCAACACCTGCTGCAACACTTGCTGCTGCTGCACATGGAGGCTAACAGAAACACCTGCTAGATCACTTGCTGCTGCTGCACATGGAGGCTAACAGAAACACCTGCTAGATCACTTGCTGCTGCTGCACATGGAGGCTAACAGCAACACCTGCTGCAACACTTGCTGCTGCTGCACATGGAGGCTAACAGCAACACCTGCTGCAACACTTGCTGCTGCTGCACATGGAGGCTAACAGCAACACCTGCTGCAACACTTGCTGCTGCTGCACATGGAGGCTAACAGCAACACCTGCTGCAACACTTGCTGCTGCTGCACATGGAGGCTAACAGCAACACCTGCTGCAACACTTGCTGCTGCTGCACACGGAGGCTAACAGCAACACCTGCTGCAACACTTGCTGCTGCTGCACACGGAGGCTAACAGCAACACCTGCTGCAACACTTGCTGCTGCTGCACACGGAGGCTAACAGCAACACCTGCTGCAACACTTGCTGCTGCTGCACATGGAGGCTAACAGCAACACCTGCTGCAACACTTGCTGCTGCTGCACACGGAGGCTAACAGCAACACCTGCTGCAACACTTGCTGCTGCTGCACACGGAGGCTAACAGCAACACCTGCTGCAACACTTGCTGCTGCTGCACACGGAGGCTAACAGCAACACCTGCTGCAACACTTGCTGCTGCTGCACATGGAGGCTAACAGCATCACCTGCTGCAACACTTGCTAGTAACGAGTCAGTATAACACAGCAACTGAGAAATGTTTCTCACTTCGCTATGTCTCGTTTAAGGGAAAAAACCACAACACAAACCAAGTTTAAAATGACAAAAAAAAGCAAAGAAGAGGAGAAAGAGGAAGACAAGAAGAGGAGAAGAGAACCTCAGACAAAAACAAACAAATAAACGTGAGGGAAGACCTTTCTGTTTTTGTTCTCTTGTTTGTTGTTCCGCCAGTGTTGCTGCAACACTGCT